GTTTGCCTATTGACAGGATGAGGGAAAATTTGGGAAAGGAGTTAAGCGAATAGTGAAGCCTTTTCTTCTCACTTGGCCCATGAACGTCCCACGTATATCCAAATATCGTGTAAAGTAGACATTTTTAGTGGACAAAAGAGTGTTTTTTTACGTATAAAACACTTGCTCTCAGGAGAAAGTTCTTTGGGCTATACAACGTAACCGAAGAAGAGATCCAACCACTGAAAACGGTCCTAGCGATAAAGTTCCTCGATGAACGAGACTTACAGGTGTGCATTAAACATTGAACGGGGGATGCAATCGTTGTTAAACGGTGCAGTATAATACACACTGCAACTAATAAATCTACATCTACGTATAAAACGTATAATTTTTATGGTATAATAACTTATGGGCTTCTATTAAATTGATGTTATCATGGTTTGTATCATGGAATTTAAAAAACAATGTCCTTTAATAGCTATAAAAGCTAGAATGATATTTTTTGGTACTGATGAAATCTATTTAAAAGAATGATAAAATAATAATCGTATGTCTTGAGATTAAAATCTGTATTTTTACATTAACTAAAAGTGCCTGGTTCATATATTATAGCATTACATGAACATTCTCAGTGACCTTGGATAAATTGTATAAACTCACCTTGGTAAGTTGAAATCCGGTTCCAGCCTGACTTATGGATCAGCACGTTAGGGCCCGCTTTGTTCTGCTTTTACCTTGATGTGAAATTTCCTGCCTATAATTGGACCTGTAGAATGTACTCCTATTCCAAATCTAGGCCTTCCTGATACCTGTCTGATAACATTTTAATTTCAAGAGAAGTAGTCAATCCAAGAAACAGAATGGAAAAAATCTAGAATTGTAATTTTACAATAAATAATACACCTTGGTTAATTCGTTTAAAAAGATTGAAAGTTACATGCTCTGAGCAGACTACAAAATGACTTAGTGAATGAATTATTAGAAAATATTGTTTCTTTTTTCTAAACTACCCTCGTTTAACGGTAAATCAAATCATAAATCGTAAAATTTGCATATCATATCTTGTAATTTTCTAGAATCTTGTTGTAATGAATTTAAACCCTTGTCTTTAAATATTCGAAAAAAATATCGAGTATAATTCGTATCCAACTGAAAGAAAATCAATATTTGTAATCAGAGAACGAAAACGTCGATCTTCACCTCAGCTTGCGGTTGAAGCGAACTAATCTAGCTTGGAAGCTCCATCCGTCCTTTGCACGACTGCCTGATTTCCGAGAACTAATATCAGCTAATCAATAACTCACATTATCACCGGCAAATCATACCATTCAAGAATTTTAAAAAAATCTCTTTGAATCTGTGTCGTGCAATGTGAAACAACGGTTGCACACATCTGGTGATAAACGTGTCGAAAGTTACACGGACTCAAACTTTGCATAAAATGTTAAGAATGAGAAATTTTGACTTTATCTGTAATGACCAAGGTGAAAAATGCCAGGAAAAAATATGGCAGTTCATAATTTTCTCGATTAATTCAACGTTTTGATAGTTCCAGCTCCAACGTGGTTCTAGTCAAAAGTATTTAATAGCCAAACAAAATCCTGATCATCAGGAAAGCTTTAATTAATTAAACGTTAAAAACCATTCCATTTCTACCTCTTTGTTGTCTTAACTATTTTCTTTTTCTTTAGCTAAATAAGTAAAATATATTTCTCTGAGAAAAGTCAATAAAAAAGAGGCAATCATAAAGAATAAGCCAGGGACATGAAAGTTGCACAAAAGCGCAGTTCATTTTAATTGTAATCTGTAGTATTTAGTTTTTCATGTTATAAAAATTTCATTTATTAATACAAATTAATTCTTCTCCTTTATTTAAAAACCTTGATTTTTCCGCAATATATGGTTTTAAGGGAAGTTTTATCTACTACTCCTCGAACAAGGAATGCTTGGTTCAAAACATATTCGAAAGTTTATTAAATCCCGCAGTTTTTATTGAATAATCTTATCTCTATCAAGTTTTGTCTCTGAGTAGTGGATTTTTGAAATATTTCTTCATAAGATCAATGAATAAATTTTATAGTTTTGCCAGGGGAACAGTTATGAATTGGACTGAAATGGTTCAGTAAATGACTCATTCATTAGACCGTTCTAGATTATAGATACGGCCTCAATTTTGGTAAAAATTGCTTAGGTAAGGAAGAAAATATGTTTTAAATCTGACAAGACTGTTTTTTCTTAGAAAATTTAAAAAGTGATTTTATCTTCTCGAAGGAGAGATTTAGAAAATTCATTTGTCCGGCATTCTACTCTACTTAACGTCTACTATTTTTGCATTCCATAGCAAACTACTCCATATATTCACTTACTACTCTACGTACAAATATTTTATTACTGCATTAAGAAAATCAAGGTAGTTTTAATTTTTCAAAAAATGGTAAAAAATTTCTTTTGCTGATTTATTGGAATATTTGTTCCTTCAGAAATAAGTTTTAGAAGCTTAATACTTTTTACAAGATTTTAAAAAAATTAATTATAATTCTTTTAAAAAAGCATATACCTTGAATTTTTTAATAAATATATTTTATTATAGTATTGAATGTGAAAAAAAATCGTTAAACGATTATCCCTTATTTTGCAAGAGAGCAATTTATTTTTTATTTAATAAAACCCAACAGTTTTGTAGGACGAAAGAATTTTCTTTTTTATACTTTTTATTTTTTAACCACCAGACATTATCGTCTATAAAATCAGATTTGGTTATTTATTGGCCTAAAGACAAATCAAAAATAAATAAACAATTTGACTGTTTTATCATTGCGCGCGCGTGTTTGTTTTGTGGGTGTTTGTGTTGTACATATCAAATAAAAACCGTCAAACTTAATTCTGTTTAAATCAGAGGACGTCACAATTAAAAACCACTCAAAAATACGTGAGCTTTCACTCTGGAGGCGTTTGGCTCCCTTTATACTTGAGCAGGAACGAAATTCCATTTCTGGCTAAATTAAACACTTTTTAGCCTCGTTCATCCCGTTTTAATTAAATAATAAATTAATTTCGAGCTATAATCAAGGATGATGCCGGTATTCATAAGGCATTCACACAATCGCTTAATTGATTTAGACCCCCGGATTCAAATTGCAATGGACGGATAGCTATCAACTTTTAGTTTTATTTTGAAAACTTGCGCTTGTTTTAAATCTTTGGCCGTTATTTTTCTCCCATTAGATTTAACGGTCTATTAACAATGGCATACATTTTAAATAGTTTAACACAAATGTATGTGTAAATGTACAATGTACAAATGTAAAACTAGGTCAATCTTTGATTTTTTATGAGGGTTCGCAACAGCAGAGGTTATATCAACCATCGGGGTGCCGGTGTTTATGAAAAAAAGCCCATTTATAAGTATGTCGGGTGGAATACAGGGCCGCTGGTTTCGAACCCGGGACCTTCCAGTAATGAGTGCCGTATCAACGCCAAGGTCAATCTTTAAAATAAAACTTGGAATTTTTACTTGTAATATATATTTTAAAAATTCGAGGAATTGGCTTGAATTTAGGATCAATGAAATTTGCGTAAAATTATTTTGACAAAAAAATTTTCCGAAGTTTTTCCAATCATCAAAAGCCTAGCTTTTCCCCTTTGTCTGCTGTTTGCTTCTCGTTTTTGCCGGACAAACACAAACACCGAGAAGGCGTAGATCACACAAAAAGGTTTCATTATAGCAGGAAACGTCGCATAACAGCACTCACTTACCAATTGTTATGGAGCCGTTTCAAAAAACACAAATCAACGGGAAGACTAACGAAATAAAACTTCCTGTTTTCGCGCATAAAAAAGTCTATAAAGGTTACAAAACAATGTACACCAGAAGACGTATAAATATGTAATTATTTCAATCTACAAAGTTGTCAAGTTCTCCTGTTATTCTAATGGGTTAACTTCAAACAAAGTTGAGCTGATCGAAAGCACTATTCTAAAAATTATCCGGAGATCGTAAGATGCGGTCTGGTGTAGGTTTTAAAAAACATTTTCAACGTTCCAACGTTTCGATCTTTATTGAGATCATCTTCAGGGCTCAAAGTGTTTGTTTTCCGTGCAGATATGTCATTCTTGTGCGTCCTGTTGAGAGTGCCAGTGAAATATTCCATAATATCTTATTAAACAAACACTTGGAGCCTTGAAGATGATCTCAATAAAGATCGAAACGTTGGCACGATAAAGAAAATGTTTTTTCTAAAACCTACGTCACACCAGACTGCATCTCACGATCTCCAAACAATCATTGACTAACGGTCACTAAACTCCACATACTATTCTAAAATGTTAATGCAAAAATTATCATGCAATTTTCAATAACGCTAACCTAACTCTATCCATCATAACTCTAACGTAATCCGATCTTTTTCAAACCCTAACCCTACCAAACCTAGCCTAATCTATCCCTATCCAGTTTAAAACAGTTTGGCTTTCCCCAAGAAAACTGCGGATATTTATAAATATTCTATCAATCTTCATTGACTATTAAATGGGAAAACACTTAATAAATATGACAACCGTATATCACAGAACACAAAAGAGTATTTGTACATAGGTGGTTTTGTTTTTGTTTTTATTCGCCATGGACTCGTTGGCCCATGTAGTTTACACTTGAAAAGATCTGGAACAATCACTAAACACTTCTATACAACTGCAAATATTTATCTTCGAGCTCCAACCCACAAAAATAGAGTGGATTCACTTCCATCTTGGCAAGATTAAGATGGCAAAATTATTAACGCTTACTAACATTTTAATAAGACCGCATACCAGATTATATTATTTGTACTATTCCCAGGCTTGGATAATTCGATATTATTAACAATAACTATAAGCTTTTTTTGTCTAAAAATCAATATTTGAATAATGGTGAATCGTCATCTTTCAGATGCATGTATGGGCTGCGTTTGTAAATATCGCTTCAAAAGTTTCATTTATGTTGGTTTTTTGTTTTTATCTTTTTTTGTTGGTATTTTTAGGCCTGAAACTACTGAAACGAGTGAATCTCTTCCAATTTTTAAGGGGAAGAAACTATTTGTCGAACAGAACGTCTCCTAGCATGCCGAGTGAGTTATATATTTCGTTTAAAAAATGAATACCACATACAAATCAATAAATTCGTTTCTAACGAATTAAAATAATGAAAAACTCAGTTTTAGCTTTTGTTTGTATGGATTGCTTCTTCATAAACTAAATAAAATCTGAAAAGAAGAGAGAAAAGGTGATCAAGTGTTATAAATAGATACTTGAATGGGTTTGAAGCATTGTTTTAAATTTTCAATTGATTATTAATTAATTGAGCACACGTATCATTTAATGGTCATTTTATAGATATCAGATCAACCGAATTATATTCCAATTGTGTGGTTTATAATGGTTGAATTATTTTTTCTAGTCTATTTAGGGACTAGAATAATTTCCTGAAATCACCACTAATAACATTTATTAAAAACTTTGTACGTGAAATTGCCTAAGCTGATTAGAAAATGTGACCAATTCAACAGACTGACATCAATATTAAATAATTCAGTTATTCTTCGTTTTTTAAGACCAATGCATGTGCTTCATCAGCCAACCTTTATATCGCTTAATACGTAGCACATCCATGTATGAAATGATAACTATTTAGTTTAAAAAAAAAGCTCAAATAGCTAAGCAAGAACGCTAGCTACACCTTGTAAGTTAGGCCGTAGAATGTGCTGACCTATTGGGAGGTACTCTGTAAAAAAAGAGCCCGTGTTCTTTCTATTCCAAATGTAATATTTACAAAAGGGGCCGGTTGCGATCCGTTAAGTGACATTTATCTTAATCGCATACCGTCGAATTAGGCCTCGGAAACAAAAGAGACGAAGAAGATAAATTGACACGAATGGAGCAACAAGATAAACTAATCAAATTCCTCTTGTCTCCCTTTGCAGGTTACGATCTGTCTTCCTTTTAACGACTTAGCGTGAAGATTCGTCAAATTTATACCGTGAAAATGTACGCTTGTAATTGTCAAACCGTTACGAATTTGTGTTCAGGGACGGCCGCATTAATTCGTTGTATAGAACTTAACAAAATCCAAGATATACATGGAAAGGATAGTCTGTTAAATTCAAATACATTGACTATCAAGAATCAGAACATTATACCCCTCCTGCATAGAAAAATGTGATATCTTTGCTAATATTCTTAAAGAACAGTTGAACCAAATATTTCAATTGGTCAGGGAGTCACCGATAAACTAATAAATGATCCCCTGCAACCAACTTCCCCTAAAACTTCAACACTCCGCCCGGCACATGGTATGATTATTCAACTGCTACTAAAACATATGAAGAAGAAAGCTATTGCTTTATTAATACAAAAGTACTCTTTAATTGAATACTGCCAGCGTCTTTCTGAACAGCTCTCAAACATTTGACTTGATATGTCATCTGGGTCTGCTGTGGCAACTTTCAAACACCAGTCACTTCATCTTCGAATACTAATTATCTGATTGTACCCTGATATACTCCAAGGTCATCACAAAGGATGTCATCCAGAGACATCTTTCATTTACCTGATGTCGCCTAAGAAAATATCCTGGCACTATCCTCTAAACCAACTACACCACGTAACCATTATATCGGCCGATAAACGATTTTCTTGTTCAGGGACTGCCACATTAATTGGTTGTTTAGACTTTAATAAAATGCATGATATACAGGGAGTGCCTTTCTGACCAGATCTTAAGCATTTAACCTGATAAAGCACCTGGATCTGCTATGGAAATTTTCGACTTCGTGTCACTTCGTCTTCAAATCCTCACCTGTGTCAAAATGTCACTCCAAGTACATACATATTCCGTTTTATCTTGTGTTCCACAAGAAAATATCCTGGCACTACTCCCCTGTGCAAATTATGTAAGCATTATTTTGCCAATACACGAGTATGTTGTCGTACCCTTCCGCTCACTCCAACAGACACCCTGAAAGGATGGTCTCGCGTTTGTAAAATCACAACCAAGAAACTATGAACAAAAATCCTGATTATTGTCTTGATTTTAGATTTATTCATACATTCGTGGACATTATTGTTGTTTTATTGAAGAACTCCAGTATTTCTTCTATTTATTTAAATGGATGCATTTTGGGCTAATTCCAATAGCCCCTCTCAGCTGACGATGTTTCGGCTTACACTTCGAATGAAACAGGAATTTAACAAAACTAAAATGTAATTTTTTGTGTAAAGAATGAAAACTTTTTTAACCTTTTACCTGTCATGAAAACAGGGAAGAACCTTATGAAAATGATCTTTACTGAAAATAACTCTAATATATTTAATTAAGTACCCTAACCGGGTTTTTCAACTTTATATTAACTAGGTTAAGTAACTAAATACTTGAATGTAACAGTAATTTCCCGGGTTATTAAATTGCTCCTTTCTCCCAGGCCGTAAAAGGATTGACGTTCAAATGATCCAGCCCAGATACAAATCTCTTGTTATCGAAATTAATTAAACTGGACAAACGAGTTTTCTACTTATCCCGCCTTCTTCCAAAAATTCCTCTTTACCCTAGGGATACAGATAGGGGTAAAAGAGGCAGCTACAAGGCTTTCTGCACCTCGACCTTAGTAGGTAGTTTGGTAGTTATATGGCCCTTGTTTATGCCAAAAAAGGAATTTGGGCTTTGTATTTTTTCGAGAATTCGTTTTTAGGTAGGGTGCTCCTGCCTCATTACCTGAAATCGACCTAGAACCATACGCTAGCGTAAGACCATGAATGAATCCTAGTTTCTTTGGGTATAGTTGCAGTTCCAGATTAGTGTTGAATTGATCTCATAGGCGTGGAGACCCTTACAAACTCCTGGCTGTTACTTTTAGCAATACAGTAAATTGTGTAAGGCAATATTATCTGTATGAGTTATTTTTTAGTGTCTGTCGAGTTCTCAGTTTCTCGGTGCTTCCATATTTTTTTTATATATGTACAGGTAAGGGTCGCATTTTGAGAATGTTCCATTCCAGCTTTAGGTGTTGCTTTAAGATCACAAGTGGTGCTAAGGCTTTTCTATGGAATTTTGTAGTTGTTCTTTAGCTTTTTTCTTTTATTTTTGATCACCATACTTTCCCATATGATCATGGGTCTGACTATCGTAACCGATAAACCGTTCAACGATAAAGTCACCTTAATATTTAGCCTCCCAGTTTTGTCAGAAAGACTCACAGATTCAGTAACATGTTTCATCATCATAAATGCTGAATTTGCGTATGAAGGTATTCATGTATCTGTCTTATTCTTAATTTGGACTGGACATTGAAAATGGTAAACGATATTTCTATTATTCACCCGGCATATGTCTAACAGGACATCCAGGACAGCCAATGCGCATCCAGTATGTGACCCCCTTTTATTATTTAATTATTACGACTCCCAGATGAAAGAGTGCTATTTTTATTAACTGGAAAATAACTTTTTAACAAATTTTTCAAGGAAAAACATTTTTTAAAATAGTTCTTCCTGTAGAATGTTTTGATTTTAGTGCAAACATTAAAATTCTAATAATGAAGTAAATATTTTTAATATCTTTTTAATTTGTTTAAGTCATAATAACAAAATACATCTTTGTATATGTAAATTTATGATATAGATGAGTGACATTTTTTTATATTCTTTATTTAATGTCAGTCATTAGGTCACGTAGTAATTGAATATTTCAAATTTGAACCAAATTGGTAAAATGTTTAACAAGAAAGCACTTTCTGTTAGGATGTTATCATGCAATTGTCGTTATCTAATTTCAATGGAAAAGGCAGTTCAATAGGCCGCTGAAAGCCATTGTGTGGAGCAGGGCGTCTAAAAGTTTTCTTTTCCCCGAATTCGTTTGTATTGAATTACCTCGCCTTGACACCCAAAAGTAATTCCAATGTCCCTTCAAATGTCTTCACAAATCGCTTAAATTCTCTGCCTCCTATCCCCTAGGATAGTTGTTACGTATAACAAAAATGTTAATTTATTGTTTTTGGAATAAGCGGGGAAGAAGTCGAACGGACTTAGACAAAGTGGTAAATTTATAATCATAAAGTGCTCACGGTGTAGGGCTTAAAAAGGGCTGGCTCACTTTAAAAGGCTTTCTCGAGAAGAAAGAAGTGCTGAACATCTACCTTGAAAGAATAGGTTGAATGGAAAAGGTAATACAATTTTGTACAGTCTGCACTGCAGAACAATAAACAGAAATGGTTGGTTTGTAAATTGTTTAAAATAGTTTACTGGGAGTTTCAATTCAATTTGTATGTTAGACTGACAAACTTCTCTTTGTCAACCACTTTCAAACTAAAAAAAACTCTGAAAAGTTTAATGACATTTGAAATGGCAATTTAATAGCTTGGCACGCCATGTCTATAATAAGAAAAGCTAGTATTTTTCAGAAAATCAAGCTCAATCTTGAATAGCAACGAAAACATTTCTTAACAATTCCAAGTACAAAATATACAAAAGTTCCATACCGAAAATTAAACCATAGCGAGATGAGAGTTGAAGGACGTATGATGGTGGTTTCATCAAAATAATTGCCACCTGAGATGAAAAGAAGGGCCGCTGGGATTTTCACGAAATGAGGATACCATATAAGCAAGATTTTTGTTTCACTTTTGGAAAATATGATAGCGCTATTTTAAAATAACTTTTTAAATGTAATAAATTATGTTATAATATTAACAATTGAATGAAACTTTCTAAAAAAAAACCTCTTAATAACTGAGATATTTTTGTTAATAATATGTATAGTAATTAATTATACTTTATGAATTTACTAATTTATAGTAAAATATAATTATTACAAAATAAAGAAATGAATAAAAAAATTTAAATAAAACAATATATATGTATGCAAAAAAATAGATAAACAATTTATTTTCATTTTTAACATCGTAACAGCAATTTATTTCAAACATTTGCCACCAGTTAACAGGAATATTCTTCATTTTTAAAATCTTAGGTAAAAATTATGCTTGAGAAACTACGACAAGGACCGTACGCCAATGACCAATAATCAGGGTATAAGCAGGTCGAGGTGGACGCTACTTTTCAATTCCTTGTAACTCAC